CATTCGATACAGTTTGGGGGATGCCTTCACTCCACAGAAAGAAGGTTGAATAAAGGGATTCGCTTCTGCGAAGAAGGTGATGATAATTTCGCACTGGAGGTTGAATGTTTCGTCTCATCCTCATTCTTCCCATTACCTTTGTCACCCTTCTCTCCCATTACGCACTCATACCGATACAAACAGGCCCCAGACAACTGGGAAACAAAAGTAGGGGGGAAAAACGGGGCAGCTAGGTCCTGATGCCATCTTGACACCCAGAGACAAAACCTTCCTACGGAGGTAGAATCAACAGCGGACCGGAATGCCACAGGAAAAGGATTATAAAGGCCGCACAGGCCAATTCAGTTAGCTTGAACGATTAATCAAGCCGTGCGTTTATCAGGCAGAAGGACACGGCACCCATTTGTTGCACGACCTTAAAATGGACATCCGATCGCTTCTGTTCCCCTGCCTTCATTTCTTCTTTGTACCTAGGCAACTTCCCGGATGACGGTTTCGTTATCAAGGCATTATATTTTCCATTTTTAGCCTTTAAAAGTACGTGCACAAATCACTTTTTGGAACTAGATTGACAGTTAGTGTCAATTTAAAAGGAAAAAGGAAAGAAAAAGAACTTTCCTAGCTTTTCCAGAACTTTTTGATCAAGGAAAGGCCTTTTTTACTAGCGCTAGCCAAATAGTGTAGTTAAGGAGTATTTGGTTAATCAAAAAGGAGTGAAAAAGGTTTGCAGAGAAAATGATACCTAATTGAAGGGGAGACGCATTTCACCGAACCTGTGAAAGTAAATGGAACCCCGCGGACAAGCAACTGATGGTGCCTACTTACTGCCTTACAGGCATCTGCTAAACCTTCTGACCAGATTGGCCAAAACACACACCCACACACACTCGTCTTCATCAAAGTGGCCATGTGATTGCAAACGCTCGTCCATTTCTTTTCTTTCTGCGCAAATTTGCGTATCCTTGTGCCTGCGTAGTCGAAAATACAGGCGATGACCTTGCTTATGTCTGCAGAGGGGTTTCAGTGTGCTGCTCTAGCGTTAAACTTACGTTGAAAGACGCCTAGATGCCATAATTCAACCTCACCGAAATTAAGATCTCATTTGGGGGAAGAGAAATTGGGGCTCTGTCTACCACTGACTCTGGAAGATGGCTTGGTCTACTCCAATTCAACCGCTCCATTGAAAGTCGAGTAGGGAGTAGAGAAGTTCGCTCCCCTCTCCGTGTCTATGGATTATGGGTCAGTCTTTAAGACCGGAATTTAAGTGAATTTCGCCTCGTCAAATTCACGAATTTCGCCGACTGATATTCTGCCCTGTCTCGTGAAGGCGTGGCTACGTGGGAGCATTCGCTGTCTTCCAACTGTAGTCGGCCAGTCCTTCGTAGGGTGAAAAAATCTTTCCCAAGCCTTATACTACCTTCTGGGATAAACAGAGTCCTACACATTTTCAAACTCGGCAGTTTCAACCTTCACAACCCTGAAATTGTAACAATGGTATGAAAAAACATGGAGAGGCTATCTGCAATTTTGGCAGAGGTTAATGACTTCCGTTCCCTTAGATGAAGTGACAAACCTACTGGTGCCTTCAAAAAGGTAAGCAAGCAACGTAAAAGCAGACTTTACGCATAAGATCTACACAATGGAAAAAATGAAATCACTACTTACTGTCTCCATGGGGCATAAATCTTTCCAAGTTTTGTCGTCCAAGAAGAGTATGCGTACAGCAGAGGCGAAGAACGAGTGAAGAGCCCGAGAGAGATGTAGACTGGTTTCCTATTAAAAATCTGCACAAATGCTTGTGCGCACTTGTCTCCTACATATTCGGTCGCCCAGTGAAGTCAAGGCCGCTCGCTGATTGGTGACTTTCGATTTTTGTGCGGAAGCGCGCTGCTTGAATGGTGTGGGCCCGATGAAACTACCACGGTTATCTAAAAAAACAACTGATTACATTTCTTTTGGCACATCTAAAAAGAAAAGAGTAGAAAGCCAAATTTCGTTTCGAATGATTTGTTGTTGGAGGCTCTGGAGGAAACAAAATCGAGTTTGAGTTAAACGACCGTCTAGCTGCGTCCAGCTGGTCAATTGGCGATCACTTTTGCCGACATTTGTGGTTCCATCGACACTTCTTACTCTAAAACAGAATTTTGCGGGTGCGCTTACGCGGTTTCGCTTCCATAACTTAAAACCCTAACAAGCTACAACACGGCCAATGGAACCCAACACCTTCGAGCCGGTGTTATAGGGTAAAGAGGAAACTACTGAAGTACTTATATTGATAAAAACAGTAATTAAATCCGATCCAGGCCAAGTACAGGCCTTATAACGTGAGTTGGTTCACAGATTACAGAAGGAAGGTATTTACTGCGGGTGGGTGGATGAATGGATGGACACGGAGCAGAGGAATGAATGGGAGGTGAATCTGCAAAGACACAATGCAAATGTCTCGCGTTTGGTAGCTCCATGATTCCGCAAATAAAAAGGAGGTTTTGAGGGATCAAGGTAAGAAATAATGGGAGCAAAGCATGCCACAAAATCTAACCACGAACTCCCCAAAAATTCATTTTAATTCCCCCAGTGTTAAATCGTTGTCCGTTTATTCTCGGAGAAGGATTTCTACACATGCATACACATACCTCATTTCAGCGAGCACATCAGCCGTCCGCAGCATCATTTACTAAAAAAAACACCACTCGAGATTCAGAAAGCCATGTCACATCTGCTACTTAGACTAGTAAGTAGTATCTAACCACCAATACCACTCCAGGATCTCTTCAGTAGCTATTTCATAGTCCCTCTCCTCGTTTGGATCCTAAGCACGGTCTTCTGCTTCGAATGCAAAGCAGTAAGTCACCTCCAAACTGTATCGAAGG